ACCCAAGGGCTTCTGAGTGTACTAAGAGATATCCAAGACACATTTATGTACTAAACAAGAGCTTAGTAGCAGTATTTTAGTACTGAGGGGAAAAAAATGTCTTGATTTTAGAAGCCAAGTTTGGATCAATCATGCTAAAGCTTTGGTTTAAATTTGAATTATGATTATAATGAGAGGTAAAAATAGATCAAAAATGCAGGTTTTCTCTTTATTAAATGACAGATTTAGTTGCCTCTATGAGCTGTAGCTAATAGAATTACTCAGAATTACTGTGGTTGAGGAACACAGTCTGCAGTATAGATGAGGAATGGGATTTCCTCTGAGTTCAGCCATTTTGATAGGAGTTGGTATAAGGGAAAAATTGTGGTTTTGGCCTAGAAAGACTGGTACATCTCATGCTTCTGGACTTTGACAAAATTTCTATTTATGAGAGGGAGAGTGAGGGTAAGAAAATTGCTAGAATTCTAGGATAGGTAAAGAACAGACTGAAAGAAAATGGCAGTGGATGGTTTTGAAAGCAAATGCATACACAAGTAGCGATCCTGAATATTAATTTTGTTTTATCATTAAGTGTTTTTAAACAGAATCCAAATATGTTCTGATAAACAAATGAGGGACATCAGCCACTGAATTCACTGAGGAGCAGAATAATAAAACTGGAAGAATATTTAGTAGTAGAAAATGCAAGGTCATGACAGAGAAATATTGGAGCTGGAGGCTGCTAATTGGAAATGACTGTCACTCACAATCTAAGGGATTTTTTTTTTGTTTAAAATGCTGTGGAGACCACTGATGGCATTCTTTAACCTATAAATAAGTGAGAGAAGTACAAAATGTTGGTATACTCACAGCAGACTACCTTCCAAAGGTCTATGTGTGTGTTTTTTAAGAAATTATTTGGAATTTGGGCTGTTGAATACATAGTTCCACAGCAGCTTCTGCATGTAGCAAGCAGTGTTTCTTGCTGGCTGCAGTGCTTTGTACTCATGCAAATGACAACGTGTGTGCAACTTTGGAGAAGGTGATTTGTGACAGAACTGTCAGTGTGCTGGTTAAAAAGACACTGTTTCCTTTTGTTTACATATTGAAAATAATATTATAAGTCTTCTTGTAAGTTCCTGTGTTAGAGTCCCTGTATCCAGGCTTTATCATCCTTGAGGAGACATCCTTTGAAGCAGCAACCACTGCCAGCAGCAATTAATAGAAGAAAGCAAGCTGAGCCATCCCCATTTATCAGGATTTAGGGTCTTTTGCTCCATGTGCTACAGGCCAGCTTCGAACTTTTCTAATTTAACTTACTCTAAATCCAGCACAGTCTGGATTTGGTTCAGGACATGGAACTGCAGCAGCTTAGTGACACAGATAGATGATCTCCTACTGTCAGTGGATAAAGGGCAGTCATTAATTTTCATTCTCCTGGCCTTTTCCTCAGTGTTTGATGCATTTGGCTAGCAGTTGATGCTTTCTTGCCAGGAGGGAGTGGCAGGGTCCAAAGTAAAACACTTATGTGACTTGGCCTCATCTTGGATGATCCATGTACGGAGTGGTGATGCACTCGTGTTTTTTGAAATGTTGCCAATGATAAAAGGAAATTAAGAATCTGAAAATCATATCTGCAGCAGGATTTGTAGTTGCCTCTGTGTCGGTGAGCATATTAGAGATGCTAATTGCTGTTCGGATTTGGGTAATGCTTATTTGTGTGGGAGGGCAGCACTTTCACAAGACTGAATTCCAGGTTGTGTAATGAACTCCCTTCGGAATGGAGAGCTGCTATGTATTTTGCGCTTAGAGTTGATGGAATTTCTTATATTTTGCATTCTTTAATGTGATAATACAGACACAGGCATATTTAGAAAGGAAAATGAAAAAAAGCAGCGACGGCAGCGCTGTGTCGAAATAAATAATCTTCTTTGATATAGCCTGTCTAAAGAAATACTGCAGGGCGAAGAAAGCTCCTAGAGGAGCTGAATTTTTAAGCTTCCTTTGAAACAATATTTCTAATCCATTTGCTACTTGTAGGTTTTTTTTCAGAAAATCACTTGTGTGCTGAACTCAAGCTCAGAAGATAGGATCTTAAAGTTTGAGGAAGCTGTGTTATATTTTTATATTATACTCAAGGTTTTAAAAGCACAAAATTAACATATGTAAGCTTACTGCTGAGATGGTTGCTGTCATTTTGGCTGAGAGAAAGAAGTTAAACATAGATAAAGTGCATGACAAAATCAAAGTTGGAGGCAAAACTTCTGTGAATACATAGGCAATCAATTTTGTGGTAAATGTGTTTTGGTAAGCACTACACCCTGTGTAGTGAGGCACTGTGTTGGGGGAGCATTTCAAATCCAGTTTTGTGAATCCTAATAATTTGGAAAAGAGTGCAGAGGCCACATGGGTACAGTGGGTACAGTGTCAGATTTGGAGATTAGGAAATGCAGTTCTGTTCTTGTCCCTTAATCTCAATGACCATAGATTGACTGACACCAAGTAATTTACCTTATTTAAGGCATTAAGTAATATCTTCCTGAAATGTACTTTCAAATTTAATGATGAAAAATGCTAAACCTCCACATAAAGGAGAAACCTCCATTTTTAACTTTGGATTTTCAGTGTAGCTCATGTCAGCTTCAAAATTGTGTAAAAACCAAAAATTTAACCGCCACCACTGAAACATGCTCAACTGAAAATGGAAGTCTAATAAAAAAATTCTTTTAGCTTGTCTTTGGGGCCCAACTGATGTGGATTGCACGATACAGGATCTCTGTGGAGGCAAATGAGCTTTTGATAGAGTTGCCTTTATTTGGGTATGCTAAAAATAATTGATTTCTGAAGAGAAAACTTTATTTGATGGTTGACATTTTTTAAAGTTTAAAAATTAAAGTTATTAATACTCTGGTAAGTGATTTGGAGATCTGTTTGTCTAATACCAAGAACTGTCACTCTGTTAATGAAATTTTCATCCTATTTCCTGAATTATTGTGTTAATAATAATGTCTATAATAATATTAATATAGAATTAATAACAGGCCTTGCCTCAGGATCAGAAGTGAATGAAAAGTAGCTTCTAATGTAACTAGATTTTATAATTTCTATGACTAGATATTTTATCTGTTTGTGAGATTAATCTGCATGGATGCCGTGACCCTCTATTTGTCAGAATTTCTTGGTTTGTAGTGGTTGCACTGACAGTTTTGTGAGATGATGTTTGTAGCTCAAACATGTTTCTCTACTTCCTTGTATAGTTTTCAGAGGTGAATGAGTAATTCTGTTATTGCTCTTATTGCTGCTCTGCCTTTGTTATTTTATTTACTTGTCTGGTTTTACATTCGGATTGAGCCATCTGATGTAGGACCATGTCATCTTGTGTACTTGCCCAGGGTCTAAAACAATGGGGCCTGGTTACTAATTGGAGCTTTTGGGTGCTCACACAATAGAGGTAATTAGTAATAAATGTACAGCTGTAATAGCAAGTAGTGTTGACAGTGGGCAGTGCAGTGCATGACAGTTAAGTTCCTGTGTTCTGTCTCTAGTGAATGCGTTTGAGAAATCATCTCTCTTCTTTCTTTGCCTTTGTGGTGTTGCCCAGAGGCGTGTTCTCTATTCTGGTGTAAGTGCTTATCTGCTAATACCTTAATTAACTTCTTAAAATGTAAATGGCCTTGGTACATCGAAATAATATTCAGAAATATACTGTTCAGCAGTCTGCAAGATTTCTCCATGAATGCTTGTAGTGTCATCTGGAGAAAACTTTAAACCTGATATTAAGCACAAGAACTTAAGCTTTTTGAGTGAAACAAGCAAGCAAAAAACCTCAAACAACCACCCAGCTCAAATCCCTCATTAATTGATAAATTCAGTTTCACCAAAACCTTACCTATCTCTTGCTTCTTGCACATTTTCAATTATTAGCTGCTCATAGAACACTTCTGTTTGTCAATCCATCCTTGACCAAATTTTTTTCTGTCTTATGTTGGTAGTAATTAGAACTTCGATAAATTCTGTTGTTTGGACCACATTCAGAGTTTTATTTCAGTAGTTTATTAAATTGGGAGATTAGAGGAGTTTTCAGCCATTCAGCTAAAAAAGCGTCAAAAAAACTACTTCCAAAATGAGACATATCTGGATCAGGTTAATGTCTGAAGCAGAGAACTTGTTCAGATTCTAAGTTAGACACGTATATTACCATGAGACCCAGACAGATAGGTCTACATAAAAGTAATTCACTGTCCTGAGACAAGATTTTTTTCTGTCTTCAAAGTCAGCACATGCTGTTTCTCAGCATCTCTCTGAAGTAAGATACAGAATCATAGAAATCATAGGATCATAGAATGATTTGGATTGGAAGGGACCATCCAGATCATCTAGTTATGAAGGAAGATGGCATGCAGAGAGGTATACTTAACAAAACCCTTGTTTGCATACAGAATACCTGTGAAAATTCTCCGTGGGCTTTAAAAGGTCTGTTACAGTTGTAGAATTGTAGCCCTGAAGTGTTTGTCCATGAGAAAGGAATATCTAGGGTGTGGCCTGGTTAAAATGCTGTAGCAACTAAGCACTCATAGCCACTATTCTCTCCTGTCTGTAACAGGATGGGTGAGAAAATCAGAAGACTGAAAGTGTGAAAGATCAAGGGTTGAGAAAATATAAGGAAAAGTAAGGAATTTTTACTACTTTCCATTGGCAGGCAGGTATTTTGCCATTTCTAGGAAAGCTGGGCTTCATGATGTTCAACAGTGACTTGGGAAGAAAAACACCGTAACTCCAAATGTCCCCTCCTTCCTCCTCCTTCTCCCATTTTTTATTGCTGAGAACTACATCATATGGTCTGGCATATCCCTTTGGTTAGTTTACAGATTTAAACTTTTAAATGTAAAAAAATCCTTTTAAAATATGTTTTTTTATAATATCTGTCATGATTACTTGTTTTTAACACTTAATATAAAACAAAGTAATAGAGATTTTGAGGATATACCTGTAATTATAATATCTTAACACTGCCTTTCCAGGTACATGATGCTGATTGATGGCAAGAATGAAGTTTATATGATTGATAGAGACAATTCCATTTTTCATGTATCCAACCTGGAGTTTCCGTTTCGTAAAGATCTTCGCACACATCTAACAAACACTCTTCTAGATGGGGTAAGGAGCATATTGTGTAATTATTGTAACAATTTCAGTGCTGTTTGCTTCTGTTCATAAACAGCATTTTTAACTAATAAACAAATTTTTAGACCTGGATCGGTGAATCATAGAATTTCAGGAGAAATATAAATTCAGTCACTGGCTGAATGTGGGAGTTGCATTTTGTCAGAAACGACTTACCTACAGAATAGTACTGGTGACTGCTCTGGGGGGAGCTGTTTGTCTTTGAAATAAATCAAGGTATTGAGATCACATTCTCTGAATATGAGAAAAGGCTTGAAGAGAAGCTAAAAAAATTTATTGCAGAACTTCATCTCTTGCTACAGCTTTATATTTTAAAATAGTAAACATGGTCAATTTTATACAGCTCATGGAATATACTTCTAAAATTTGATAAAATTTTCATCATGTTTTGATACACTTCTGTGAATAGCTATCTTTGTTTCTGTCACCTTTATTTTCAGGATCTGAATTTTTGAATGATTTAGAAATGCCTTAGTTATACTTCTTTAAGGCTAAGACATTTATAAGTTGCTATGCTAATTTAAATTACGTAAACTTGCTAATGAACTTTTTGAGCCAGTTGTTAAACAAGCTGTAAAACATACGGATTTGTCTTTTGGAGGCTGGGCTGGACTAAGTTTGGTGGCAAGCTTTTCAGAGCCCCAGCCACAAGAAGAAATTACTTCTTTCTTGACTGTCCTATTTCACATGACCAAGAGAATTTCACTAGCTCTTTTGCTAATAGATCAATGCAGTTTCCTATTTTATTTCAGTAGTATTGGAGACTCTACATTTCTGTAACTCCAGCTTGATGAAGTATTTTCGTACCTGAGATATCTTCCATATTGATCCTCTGAAGCCTAATGCACTTTTCAGCCATATTGTCTGTATTTACTCTCTTTCCTTTCTTAGGCCCTTGTTGTCAGCATTCTACTTGAAATGTCACTTCTGTGAATGATGTGTCTTACTGAACACACATTTACATGTGAAGCGTGTATAAATTGAATCTGCGAGGATAATTACTGCAAGGAACAATGTACTGTCTCAGGGACAGAGAAGCAGATAATGGAATATTTTCTACCAGCTCTGCTTCACTGAAAAATTGAGAGCATAGTGCAAGAAATGCCATGCTGTCAGCTCAGAAGTGGTTGCACAAGCTGTCGTGTCTGGTAGGAGCCTCTTCAGCCAGGCAGCTTCCTAATGATATACATAATATTATTCGTAATGACATAAGTTAGTCAAAGTTCCATACTTTTGAGATAAAAAGTCTGGTATTGCTGATTTTTCCCTTGCTACTTCTAAGGCTCTTGAGAAAGTAATGACTTACTAGTGTCCATACAGTGCACTCCTAGTTCTTGAGGGAAATAGCTGCTCTTACATTTATTTATTTAATTATTCTCTGTATTTCAAAACAGATGTTTTAGTGAAGTTGGCTGATACATACATGGTAGAAGACAGGGATATTGAGTAGCAGTTGGGCATGGAAGAAGGTCTCTGATCTGGTGTGTTGTGTTCCCCAGATTTATAGGTTAAGTCTCTTAACAATAACTGAAGTACTCTCAGGTTCCCAGAGTATGAACTATAACTTTGTGTAATTTGTTGTTCTGTAAAAGTTTGACTTTTAATAGTGCGTTTTGGTGTTTCACTTTATTGGCATAAAATCAGTCTTAGTGTGACTTCTTTTTTTCCACCCACACTTTTTTTTTTCTTAAAAGGAAGTGAAAAGCAAAATGACATGAAATGAAAATGTTCTGACTGAATGAAATACCATGAGATAAAACTAAAACCTTTCAATGGATAAATACTTTCAATAGTAGAGATTTCTAAATTTGCTTTGGTGTGGTCAGTTAAATAAAAAGCTGTTGCTGGAATATTTTTTTTCAGTTGAAATTTCTTTAACATGTTTAAGGATAAGACTTGCCTATTATCAGAAGAGCTTAACTTTGTAATTGAATATTTGTTTAATGTTGATGCCAAATTAAAATTTCCATGAATGATCCTTTACTCTAGATATATGCATGATTGATTTTATTTTATTTTTTAAATCCATGGGAAGAAGTTGGCTTTTTCTCTTTTAACATATTTTGCTAATTAGTGCTTGAAGGGCTGTTGATGTTAATTCTTTAATTACAGGCTGAAGTAGTTCATACTTACTGTCCTTGAAGTAGCTTTCTCTCTTTCAGGGAATGGAAGTATAGAATGAGGTGGTCCAATCAATATTGCTTTACAGTATTCTTAAAAATATGAGGAAAAAAAGGAAAGAGAAAACAGAAATATCAGTGCCATGCAGCAAACAACTACTGGGTTTAAGAATACAAAAGATTAATGTCCCCCTAACATTATTTAGAATGACAGTGTACATGAAACTTTCATAAAGGCAATTTCCATGCATTCAGGGATCTATTAACTTGCTTTAAGGCCTCTGGTGTAAGCCTTTCATGTGGTTGTCTTTGAGAATTTCAGATGCATTTGTGGTTCACTTCAGGCTGAAATGACTTGCAAACAGTTCTTATGATCAGTTACATCTCGGGTGATGACAGATCTGCAATGCTCTGTGCTCATCTCCAGCTTTTCAGTTGCAGTTGTTCTCCTGTCATGGAAGAAAGTTTTCTGCAAAGCTCATTAAAGCTAATTTAAATTTCACCTACAGGTGACTAGTATGACTTATTCCTTTAGAAGCCAAGTGTTCTGCACCCATAGTGCTATCTGAGGGAATGCATAGAGTTTTGTTCAAATGTTTTGGCTGTCATGGAGAAAAACCTAAATAGCTATTTTCAGGAGCTTTCTTGGCATTCTGCTTAGCTTTTGAACAGTTGAGTGGAAAAGGCAGAGGCATCCTGAGGCTTGAAATAACTTTTACAATTTTAATACAATTTTTTAATCTTTTTTTTTTTAAATATAAAAATGCTGTTCACACTTGAAGACCTAGAGGGCCAGGAACTCCATAAATGGAGAGCAAGATAAAGATTCATTTATGTTTTTGTATCAGTAGAAACCTTACCTATTTGTCAGCTGTCTCAGAAATTGCAGAACTTAAAACTTGAGTTTGCAAAAGCTGGTGCAAAATAGATTTATGCAAAATGGATTTAAGAAAAAAGGCAAGAAACAAACCCTGTTTTCATTCCTGAAACACAGCAGTGACTAGAATTGTGTTAAAGATAAATGGATAAAGGATTAAGAAAAGGCACAGGAGGAAAAGGAACAACAAACAGATGCATTATTAGATCTGATTCCATACTCTGTGTCAACAAAAAATACATTCTGCAAGCGGCTGGTAAAATTGGATCCTTTGCTTTGATTGAATTTTGGATTATTTTCATCTGAGTTACTCTCTAGAGATGTGATTCAAGGAAAAAAGTCCATGAGCTCTCAGTCCAGCACCGTTCTTCTGGTATTTGTCCAGCAAAAAGCTCTTCACACTGTTGCAGGTCTAATATACCGTACAATTGTGCTTTGCAACACCACAGGATCGAGGAGAGTAACACCAGCACAGTATTGCCAGATTACATTGAATTAATTGATCACTGGACCTTTGTTCTTCAGGCCCATGGGTTAAGGGGATACCTAAACCAGCAGCTAATGGACAAGTGCTAATAGCAGAGGTAGTTTTAAAGCACACAATACTGGCTGTAAATCTGCATGGAGTCTATAGAGAGAACTGCATGGATGCTGGTGTGCCTTATGGATACTTCTATGTTGTGTCAACATGTCTTGTGAGTGGATTTGGGTTTAAATTTTTAGTTATCTAAAAATTGGCTTAAATATAGTCTTATAGTTTCAGGTTATTACTCAGGTCCGAACGAGTAATTTTAATTGTGGTCATTTCTCAAATACTGCATTTTCCCATCTTCTCTGAAGTTGTCTCTGGAGTCTATTCCCTGGTGTATTTTTCAATCCTGATAATCAAGGAAGATTCTGAAATCTGACTGTAAAATAATGATGTGTTAGAGCATTTCTAATCTGAGCCATTCTTGTGCTCACTTTACAGCTTTTGCCTTATGACAGTTGTATTGGCGTAACTAATGGAGCAGGGAATGTTGTTGTCATGATGGAGATGTGCAGTGCAGGAATTTGTCATCTCATCTTCTGAGGAATATTGTGCTACTGTTTTTTGCTCTAGTAGCTGGGATTTCAGTCAGGATGTCAAAGAGAACAGGAGGCAGGGGAGGGGGGAAAAGAAGGGAGGAGATGAGGAAAAAGACTTGTTTGATAAGTAATAGAATAAAAATGTTTACATGTCTGAAGCAGAGAAAAAATTAAAAATAAACACTTCAAAGGATGTTTAAAAACAGTTCTTGGTCCTCTTTGTTGTATTTTATAATCCTTCTTAAACTGAATATGCAGAGATTCAGGTTTTTAAAATTAGGCATAAAATCTTGTAATACCAGGCATTGAAATGTTTTCAGGGTTTTGCATACAAATGCTAGCTTTGCATCAAAGCTGAGGTTCTGAATATGCATACTGAGAAAGTGAGTCCTTAAACCCTAAATATGTGCTCAATTAAATGTGTTTCCAAACAGTTGTTTCACCTGCCAGTTCAGCTGAGAGTTAATGAAAAAGCAAAATTCTTTTGTTTCACTGTTACTATGTTATTTCTTTCACCTGATTGCTATCTGGAATTTCAGGTGGGTTTTTTATCCTGGGTTTTTTTTCCCCTTGCATTATATCTTTACACCCTCTTCCAAGTTTGCATATTATGCCTTCTGTCTCTTGAGTCCTACCCATCTGTTCTTCTAGTTAGTTATAAAATTTATTGTCAAAGAAGGCATTGCAGCATTGTGTCTGTTGTTCCTCAAAGAACTCACCAGTGTCCTACCTAAATCGTGGGCACTAGCAGAATGGCATTTTGTTACATCACTTCTGTGTAGACCTTTTTTGCACATGTTGACAGTGCCTGTGACTAAATTTTTAGAGGTAAGATACTGTAATACTACAAAGAAATAGCTTTCACTTGTTGGATTAATGCTATTTTTAATTTTTTTTAAAAATTATGCATAATGATGTATAAGGTCAACTCAGGTATTGATTCACAGCACCTGTGAATGCTGCACATGGCTTTGAAATCCCAGTCTCTCTCTCAGTGTTATGTTTACAGAAGATGAGTTTCCAAAATATTAAGTAGGCAACTTAGATTTCCTAGTGGTTTTTGAGAACAACATGTTCTTGTCTTCTAGTTTAGTTTTAAATGCTTCAAACTTTAAATTTTCCTTAAAACAAATCTTTGTTTTAACAGCTGAACTGCTTTTTTATTTTTCAAAGCAAATTGTGGTTAGATGCTAGGTACAATTAAAGAATCTTGTTATTGTTGTACAGACTGAAAATTAATCCTACATGAGTCAATCAGACTTTTTTGGTTTTATTTTGTAGAATCTATGGATTCTGAGAAAAATTAAAAGGTTGTAAGACATAAAAAGAGCAAGATATTGACTAAGCAAAATTAGAGTTGATGTAATGTTCTTTTTTGAAATAATTCTTGAGCTCCTGATTTTGCTTTCATCATGTCATAGTGCACTGTTTTCAATTGTTTTGTCTTGTTCATGTGAATTTGGAATTTCAACTTTTAGGGTTTTTTTTTTAAATTAAAAGAATAAAAAAATCTGTAACTGATACAGCACATTAGCCAAGAATCAGGTAGGGGAGGGAGGGAGAAGATGGATTGCATTTAGAGAAGTGGTTATTTCAGAGTTGCCTCTGGAAAAGATCTGTCAGACAATGGTTGTTACCATTTTTAGTCTTCATATTGGTTCATCAAACTCTATGTCTAATTCCTGTCATAGGAAGCCCGAGTTACAGATGTAAGCACCGCCATGTAAGGTGTATGTATTTTTGTATGTACCATTAAGTTCAGGAAACATTTTTGTGTTTGGATGTTGATCATTAATATTCTTTCCCTACCTGACATGTATTCAATCTGATTTACCGGTACATACTGAATGTTAACGGACGTCAAGTGATGCAGAGAGAGTCTGTGATATTTCTGTCTGAAGGAGCCATCCTGTTTAGTCACAGTGCAATGTTCAAGCAAATTGCAGCTCTCACTGCTGCCTAGGATGCTTTTAAAATTAAAAGATCCAACCTGAGCATAGGAAATAAATGTGAATGTTCTTTACATCCTTGCTGTTTTACTTCTGATTGTGAGCAAGATTTCCAGTAGTGTTTGGTTGGGTTAGGATCACAGTTCTTACTGAGGTTTTTAAAAACTCATTATTCACTCAGGATTTTGAAAGCTGTGGGGAAACTAATGTATAAATGTTGCCAATCAGAATAGGAAGCCCTAGCACAGCTTCCTGGTGTTTTGCTGAAAGCTTCTTGAGAGACTTTCAAGACCACCATTGTTTAAAAATAATATTTTTATAATCTTGACCAGTTATAAAATATTTTTTGTAATAAAGATGTGGCCAGTGTTTGATTGCATCATGGTTGCACGTATATGCACTAAGTATAAATGTGTCAACATTCTTCTTTTATATTTGTGAAAAAAAATGCCAATGCCTCTTCTTTTCTTTTAAGGAGATGATCATCGACAAGGTTAATGGACAGGTTGTCCCTCGGTACTTGATATATGACATTATTAAGTTTAATGTAAGTACTTTCAGTTTTATTGCTTATTATTTGTTATTAATTCTTACTTCAGTTTTAATCTTATTTATATAAATAAGGGCTTCAAAGTAAATATAAACACCAAAAGCATTTGAGTATTTTGCGTCTTGATAACAAGCAATGCATCAGAATTTATATTGACAGCAGCCTTACAATACATGTTGACTTATTTTCACTTGCTCAAGAAAAAATGGCCATTTGAAACAGTCTGCTAGACACTGTTGGAAAATTTCCCATTTCTAGAGCATGTTTAAACTATTTAGGCATTGAAGGGTATGGAGGAGTTAGCCTGGTGTATTTGTTACCAGAGCTTCACAATGCTTGTTAGGCTGCTCTGTCACCTCCTTCTCAAATTTCTGTTTGAAACCAGGCAGCTGGTCCTCTGCTAAGCCCTCAGCAGCAGGGTCCCCTGGTGGCACAGGCTGTAGGGAAAACGTATAATAAGGAAATGTCTTGCAGAAGTTATTGAAGAGGAGCATAGAGTCTAGGAATAAAGTGTTTGTGATCACAAGAAAGAGCTGTTAAGCAGTACTGGAAATAGGAAATTTGTTTTCCATAAAACCAGCTTTCAAATACAGTAAAGGTTTGAATATCATCAAGGGGCTCTTGCTGGTGCCATTTACAGACTGTTTTTGTTGTTGTTTTCTTCATAGTAGCTCGTATGATACTGTGTTTTGGATTTGTAAATTAGCATGGAATAGTGCTGATAACATAGAGGTGTTCTCTGTTACTGCTGAGCAGCGCTTCAAGCCCTTTTCTGTTTCACCCTACTGCACCAGTGAGTAAGCTTGGGGTACACAAGGAGTAGGGAAGGGGACACAGCTGGGACAGTTGACTCCAGCTGACCAAGGGGACATTCCTTGCCATGTGATGTTGTACTCTGCATATAGAGCTGGGGGAAGAAGGATGTTTGTAGCGGCGGCGTTTGTCTTCCCAAGTCACCATTATTTGTGATGGAGCCCTGCTGCCTCGGGATGGCTGACTGAACACCTGCCTGCCTGTGGGAAGTGGTGAATGACTTCCTTGCTTTGCTTTTTTTGCATGTGCAGCTTTTGTTATAGCTTTGAAATGCTCTTTATCTCAAACCTTGAGTTTCCTCACTTAGACCATTTTGATTTTCTCCCCCTGTGTTGTTCCAGGGGAGTGAGTGGCTGCAGAAGGTTTAGCACCTACTGTAGTTAAACTACACCAATATGTTAAATTTAGTCAAAATAGCCCATGGAGAAAACACTAGTATCTGTTAATGCTTCTGAAAAAACAAAATTATTGTTTCAGCGTGCCTAACAGGACAAAAACAATATTAGTAAACCACAGGACATTTCTAAACTACAGTTGACTCTTCCAGTCTTAAGTAAGGTACTACTCAGTCGGTGTAAGTGGAAATTGCAAGTGTAGGCATGGTACCAGTCACCAAATTGCTTAGGTATTCTTGGAAGCATAGTCATATACTGTGACTTGGGACAGCTGCTTTTAAAAAGAGTAGTTTGTGGGGAAGATGTGTTAGATTAGGACTAGAAGCTTTTGGTTAACACATTTTAATTCTGTATCTGGATGTCCTTTCTCTAATCTTTTCTGAAAAGTAGGTGTTAGTTTCCTGGATCCCTCCTACCATTAAGACTTTTCCCTAAGCAAGAATTCCATGTACTCTTCTGAAAAATATGGTCTTCTATAACCACTCATAGGTTCTCATTTTTTCGTTACATTTTCCTGCTGCTCCACCTGTGGCTCTGTGTTTATTTACCTTCATGTCCTGCCTTGTCTCTGCTCTCCTTTTGAGTCTAACCTGCCATTCACTGCTGTTACACTTCCTTTGAAGTAAACATGTAAGGAGTGTACAGTTATTCAGTTTGGGGATGTGCATATATTAGCAGAATAACACTTTACAAAACTCATAATTATTTTGCTTAAATTTTGTTTTGAGGTGGAAGAGGAGTTGTATCATTGTACAAATGATACAACCCTCATTTGTAGTGAAGTCCAGACTTAACATGATGAATCCCATTTGACAAACAGAAAAAATGATCAGTAGGTTTCCAGAGGATTGTCAGTGTTTTGGAAAAATCTGCTTTTGAGCAGTGTTTGGTTTTGTTTGGTTTTTAAGTACTGTGGGAATGAGAGAGAGGAGCTAGTTACTATGTCATACTTTTTTAACGTCAAGGACAAATTAAGATAATGTTATCAGTATGAGTACAAGCAGGGCTTTAGCTGCAAGAAGTCATTAGCAGTGACCCTACTATAAAGATTAAAAAGCACAGCTGTTTTTAGGTTAATTTTAGAAGCTTAATTATAAAAATGGGCACCCAAGGATGTTTGGTTTGGCAAGAAATGATCAACAGAATTTTATCACCAAGAGAGGTAAATGTAATATAACTCGTAAATGGCAAGAAAGAGTAAGTTCCTATTTGTGTGTAAGTTATGTTTTTGTTAACTTTTTAGCAGATATTCAAATAAATAATTACACAAAACACTGGTCCTGTTCAAAACCAGAACATTCCTCCCCACCTGCCAAACAATCCCTCACTTCAAAAATTCCCCAGAACAGAGGTTGCTCTGGAATTTGGTATTGTTTGTGTTGATCTGTAAAGTAGTTGAGCTTTGAAGTTGAGTGATGGAGTTACTGTACTTTCTGTCCATCATGAGTTACAAGATTTGCAGCATGTCCTCTGTCTCACCCTCCACATGACTCAGCTTACTCTGCTCTTGGAGATGCAGCTTTGCAGCTGGGGAAATGCACATTCAAACCCCATTGATAAACACCTCTGCTCAGGCAAACCTTATGTTTTAGTCAGGTCTCGTAAAAGAAGATATTTTTAGCTGAGCTTCTTCTGAAATGCTTGACCTATTTTGCTAGCTAAGCACTGCAGAGTTTTCTGGCTTTGTCAGAATATTCCTTCTGAAATATTGCATTCATAATGCAGAGAAAGTGAGTGGATAAGAACCCACCTGTTACAGATTTTCATCAATGTTGTTATTGGTGAGGCTTATTGTTACTTACTTTTTGATTTTACTGTAGTGTGTCAGCAATAAACTATAGCAGCATTCTAGAAAGAAACAAAGGAAACAAAGAGAATAGACTGACATACATGGTGTGTATTGGCTCTAGATGTCTATACAGGAAAGTCTTAGAAGAAACATAAAAATTGCATTTCAGTGATTGTGAGAAAACTATACTTGAGTTCTTAAGCAAAACATGTCAGTTGTTTTGTCTCTTTCCATGAAAAGTTTTGTATTGAATTCTGATACTTACCATGTATAGCTGCTGCAAAAAATCTTGTCTTCAAGGATGTTGTTGGAGTCCTTTGACTATTTCTTTTAGTTACTGTTTCTGTGACATCTAGTTTTTAAAAGCTTGTAACACATCCCATTTTCTTGCAAGAGATGCTTGTGTCAAGAAGAAAAAATGATTCTTCAGATTTAAAAATGTTTTTATTGTAATTTTTTTCAGTATGAAGCATGGCATTGATTGTTATTCATAGCAACTCAAAATATGGCGTTGCTGTCTCACTGCTTTCATCTCACCTGCTCAAATCAAATTCATAGGAAGAAAGCTGTATCCTAGTGAAATAAATATGCCTTTTGACCTTTGTGAGCTCCACACACAAGAAATCTGGATTTTTCATATTCCTCTGAACATAAAAGGCTAGTAGGACCCAACATTCCTTATGGTGTTTAGTCTTAATGAGTACAGAGCTAAATCCCTGCAGTGCATGTTGCTTTCTGGCTTCTTGATTTGTGTCTGTATGTAGTTGAGTTCAACATTATAGTAGCTGCAAGTATATAGCTACAATTTCAAATTTGGTGGATAATTCTAATATAACAGAGGAAGCTGACGGTAGAATAATTAATTGCCCCAGAAGCAAAATGCAGGCAAGTCGAAATCCCTTTTTATCTGAAACAGTCTGCAAAAGAATGTGTCTTCATTCTTCAGTCATCTTCGAGACAGCTCTTCCTGGAAAACCTTGTTTTGAGAAGCTTTCTCTTAGATAATATTCAGTAGCTACTTGTAAATATATGGACACTAAATTTAAGCAACTATTTTTTTCCTTAGTTAAGTAACAAAAAGTAACACTGGCATGATGTAGGATCTAATTAATGCATTCTTAGCAAAGATGCTGAAAATGAGTACAACTTTCCCTTTCTAACCCTGGCCTTTAAATTTTTAAACTCTAGCCAAGTTTTTCTGAGACCAGATTGCAATGGTAAGAATAGAATGAATGCTTGAAAAAGAATAATTATTTAAATGCTTAGAAAGGAGATAGAATTTTGATTAAATTTCCTAATACTTTGTGCATTGAATTAAGTCAAGATAAAGATTTCTTTGGTTGTCATTATGTGTAGCAATGCTGTTGCTATTGGTAAAATTTGTCATGGTGAACAGATATGCTGGTCGTAAATCCTGCCCACAGCAAATGTGCTCATTGAATTAATGCATGAAAAATATTTGTTTTAAATCCCTGTAAAATATTACCATGTCTGACTTTTCTGTTGCAAACCACATTTTAAAGCAATGTAAGGCTCACACTCTATGCAGTCTCTCACTTATTAGCCTATTAACCTTACCTCAAAGTTGTACTGTGAAAGTTTTGAGGGCACAATTCAGAGATGCTAGTCTTTAATTGCATCTCTTCTGTTTACAAACGCACCTGGCTGCCAGTCACGCTTTTGCCCTTAATTTTAGTTCTGAGATTCTTTTTCAAATGGTGTACCTGAAAATACAGATTTAACATGTTTTTGTTACTAATAGTACTCTGGAAAGTAAGGATGCTTATGGGCATGTTTGCTCTTGCACTCTTAGATTATTTCTTCTGAAGACTTACCTAACAAACACCCAAATGCTTGTACTGGTGCTCCTGCTGCATGTTATGTTCTCAGCCTCTCAATATATTCATCACCTCATTCCTTCAAGGCTCAGGGCTGTCAGGTAAATGAAATATGGACCATCCACTCAGTTGTGTCTCACTTTGCTTTCTGCTGTCAGTCTG